GTGTTGTCAATGAGGCCAAGAAGTCGAGGGACAACGGTATACAAGCGGTACGCTACATGTAAGTCAAAGTGTCAGTGAAGTTTAACAGCTTCGGATGTATGGATTGAACATACCCTTCATCTCGTCGTTAACAAATTGGAGCAGACTCTGACAACTGGCCAAGATCCACCGGTCCATCACATTGTCATTGCTTGACTGCGTCTCTGGACTCCAGACATAGTCAACGCCCTCGACCTTCTTGAGCAAGGACACTTGCCCCTCAAAAAATTTGTAGCTGTTCCAGAGCGGCAACAACACTTTCTGCACAATCTCCTTGACCCCGGACTCCTTGAAGCGCAAGGGCTCGGCGCGGACGACTGGCGAGTTGATCAGATAAAGGCGAAGAGCATCCGATCCGTACTTGTCCATGACCAGGTCTGGTGCTGGATAGTTCTTGAGACGCTTCGACATCTTCTTGCCATCCTCAGCGAGAACGATGCCGTTGACAACGCAGTTTTGGAAGGGGATCTTTCCAAAAAGATGTGTGCCGAGAACCAGGAGAGTGTAGAACCAGCCTCTTGTCTGATCCAGGCCCTCCGCAATGAAATCACCAGGGAAAGATGCGTTGAACTTGTCGACATTCTCGAAGGGATAATGTTGGCTGGCGTAAGGCATGCTGCCAGATTCGAACCAACAATCGAAGACTTCCTCCACGCGCCTCAACTGTCCCTTGCCCATTTTACTGGGGATGGTGATGTGGTCAATGTTGTCACGATGAAGATCCGACAGGTCCCCATCGTAGCCACTCAGCTCCTTCAATTCTTGCACGCTGCCAATACAGACGCGCTCCTCCATGTCGTCGCTTACCCACAAGGGAATGGGAGTGCCCCAGTACCGGTTTCTCGACACGTTCCAGTCGCGGGCGTTTTCAATCCAGCTGGCGAACCGGCGTTCCTTCACAAAAGAGGGGACCCAGTGGGATCCTTTGATGTTTTCAAGCATCTGTGGAATAATTTCTGGAATGCGAACGAACCACGAAGGTACAGCTCGGTAGATGAGAGGGGTGTCGGAACGGTAGCACATGGGATACGAGTGCTTGAGGGAAGAATCGACGACAAGTCTTCCAGTACCCTTTAAATACTTGATGATGTGTTTATCGGCCTCCTTGACATGCATTCCTGCAAAATCAGAAATTCGCGGGCCGAAGTGACCCTTGTCGTCAATAGGGTCTGGCGGCGGTCTGTTTTCAGTGATGATACCAGCAGCGAGGGCAACGTTGTAATCGTCCTCACCAAAAGCCGGGGCCTGGTGAACGATACCAGTACCGCTGTCGTCAGTAACGTATTCGGCGTTCAAGACCCTGAAGGCGACGTCCTTGTACTCTTCGTAAAAGTAGTTGAAAGGGGGCTCATACTGCCAGCCAAGCATTTCCTTGCCTCTGATCTTCTCGAGAACCTTGTACTTGGCTTTCTTGGGGTCCTTATACAAAGTAGTTAAGAGCTTCTCGAGAATGATGTATTTCTTGCCGGATTTCTCGTCCTGGATTTTGATGTACTCAAATTCAGGGTGGGTAGCAAGACCAAGATGTGACGGCAGTGTCCAAGGTGTGGTTGTCCATGCCAGGAGATGAGTCTCAGGGTCATCGCGGAGAGGAAAGGAGACGACAACGGCAGGATCAGTGACATCTTGATAGTTCTGGTTGGCCTCGAAGTTGCTCAGAGCTGTGGTGAGAGCGGTAGAGTAGGGCATGACACGATGACCTTGGTAGACAGCTCCCTTATCGAATAATTGCTTGAACACCCACCACTCCGACTCCATGAAGGTGGGGTCCATGGTCTTATAGTCGTTGTCGAAATCAATCCAGCGTCCGAGTCTCTCGATGGTGTGCCGCCATTCCTGACTGTAACGCATGACGATAGATCTGCATTCAGCATTGTAGTTTTTCAGACCAAGCTTCATGACAGCGGCCTTTCCGGAAATTCCCAGCTTCTTGTCAATTTCGTGCTCAATGGGCAGGCCGTGGGTATCCCAGCCGAAGCGTCTTTCGACATGGAAGCCCTTCATTGACCAGTATCTCGGGATGATGTCTTTGATGGTGGAGGCCAACAGATGACCGTAGTGAGGCAGACCAGTGGCAAAGGGGGGGCCATCGTAGAATGTGTAGAGAGGTTTTCCCTGGGTCAATTCGAGCTATGAAGCAGAGTTGAGATGTTAGTAGGTGAAGGGAATAGTGCGGCGCTTATAGTTTTCTGGAAAGCGAGACAACTCTCAGAGATGAACAAATCAAGGCTTACCTGACGCTCAAATGCCTTGATCTCGCGCCATTTCTTGATGATCTCGACCTCTTCCTTGGGAAAGTCGATAGACATGTTGGCGGAATCGAAGCGGTGCGTAACGCAACTAGTGCGCAGCGTGGTTGTGAGGGATGCAAACACGAGAGTTGCGCGCCAAGGATGGCCAGCGAGGGTCCGATTCGATGGCTTGTCACAAGAAAGTGAAATGAAGCCCAAGCCCGTATCTTGTAGAAAATGTTGTGGTTGTAAGCAGGCAAGGCAGCGGCAGAGGAGTCTTTGCGGGTGAGTCAAGACCGACGGCTTGTCGAGGAGAGGTTGTGGCTCTCAATGCACGCTGATTTGGAGGGGTCTTTTTTGGTGGGCGATGTGAGTCAGTGGGGTAATTTTTTTCCAAATGATTTCAGTCGAGCGCGGGGCAGCCAGTTTTCCAAATAGGACCTTCCCCTCCTTCCCGGCCTAATTAAGGTGCCTAGGTGCCTAGGTAGATACCGTCGCTGATGGTTGGTACTTTGGGCCTGCCTGGGCCCGTAATTTTCTGTCTCCCGAGTCGAAGGGGTGTCTTACCTAAGCCTGCGCAAGGTGCCTTACATAGTAGGGAGGTACCTAGTATACTTAGGTGCCATGTGCCCCAGCTAGCAGCCTACCTAGTGCAGATGATGCCGCACACTGCTGGCAAGGTAGCACGAGCACGGTAGGTGCCCAGATAAACGGATAGGCGCCTTCGATACCAGGTCACCAAGCAACGCCTTCTCCGGCTGGCAAGGCCTGATCATCAACATAAACAACCCAACGTCGACCTGCCGCCACGCTCATTTTCGCCAATCCCCTCCCCGCGATACTATCCTCGACGGTTCACAATTCCCTCGCCCCCGTGCAACCGTGTCGTTTATCCCGTTGCCAGGGAATTTCCTACAATCAACATCAACAGCCCTCTTCCGACTGGTATTCAGCTCATCTCTCCTGCAATCTTCGTCAACGACACTGAAGCGTACCTAAAAGTCCAGCCCAGTCCGCACACTCGACTCAGACCCGATAAAATACCTCAAAACCACCCATAAAAACTGCGAGTCCCGCAAAATATACTCGGTTCTCTCCATTCTCGTCCGCCATGTCCTTCCTATTTGGCAGGGCCAGAACGAGGCCGGCCGTGGACCTGCCCAAACAAGCCAGGGACCATGTGACGAAGCTGGAAGGACCAAATGGCTCTGTAAAGGTCAGCCATCATTATAGTTGCCGCGCATCGCCTCTGGACCATCAAAGTACTGACCTATCCTCTCGTCAGGCCGAAGAGCTTGCCAGAGTCCTGAACCAGATGAAGTTCATTTTGCAAGGTACTCAAGGTTGGTCTCCATACCTCGTCTACCTTGGACCATGGCAACTAATGTCGAATCAGAGGCTGATAGCAGCCCCGAACAGATATATCAACTCGTTACTGGCTTGATTGAGGAGGATCTCCTCTACTTACTTGCCGTAAATCTCTGGCGCTTACCGTTCGAATCCCGCAAAGATACCCAGGTTATCTTCTCCTACGTCTTCCGTTTCCGCCCACCCACCGCCTCGCCTAAGAGCGACCCCCTCGCTCTGTCCTACGTTGTCAACAACCGCCCGCAAGTTTTGCTGGAACTTTGTCGAGGGTACGAGCACAAGGAGAGCGCAACGCCTGCCGGTTCCGTTCTCCGAGAAGTCCTCAAATCAGAAGCTGCCGCCGCCATAATCTTGTACGATGACAATGAAGAATCTGGATCTAGCAATAAAGGTATCAATTTGATTGACCGAGATCGCCGTCAAAGCGGCGACGGCGTCTTTTGGAGGTTTTTTGACTGGATCGACAAGAGCTCTTTCGAAGTCGCTGCGGATGCCTTCACCACGTTTAGAGTAAGGCGACCCGACCCTCTTGCTACAGCAAACCTTGAGCTGCGGGTACGATTTCTGACCTTCTGCTCTATCTTTAGGAACTTCTCACGAAACACAAGGAGCTTGTCCCGAGGTACTTGTCGGTCAACTTCGACCTCTTCTTCGACAAGTACAATAACATACTTGTACAATCCAACAGTTATGTCACCAAGCGACAGTCCATCAAATTACTCGGCGAGATCTTGCTGGACCGCTCAAACTATAGCGTTATGACCGCCTACGTTGATCGCGGAGAGCATCTGAAGATTTGCATGAATCTATTGAGAGACGACCGCAAGATGGTCCAGTATGAGGGCTTCCACGTCTTCAAGGTCTTCGTTGCCAACCCTCATAAGTCAATTGCGGTCCAGAAGATACTGCTTATGAATAGGGAAAAGCTACTCACATTCTTGTCCCACTTTCTGGAAGACCGGACCGACGATGAACAGTTCATTGATGAAAGGGAGTTCCTCATCAAGCAGATCAGGAATATGCCGCCAAGCCCAGTGCCGCCTCAGAGGCATGGCATGTCTGGCGGCACTTGACTGGTTCGAATCAGAGGAAAAGGAAAAAACTATGTGGGAAGTGACAATCCCAATTTGAACATGTCGCTGAAAGGGGTTTCGGATATAATTGAACCGGAGGTCTCAGAAGCTCAAGCTTTCATAGCGACATCGATTGAATGTGCATTCGCGTCTGGCGTTCATGGTAGGACAGTTCCTCAAGGATCGCGTTGTCCAGCAAGCTGATCCTCAATTTCGGCATGCCGATATTGTGACCCCGGATGGATTGGAAAGTCTCCATGCCGATCGTCCTTTCCACGGCAACCTCGATCTACGTATCCTTGATGATCCACTGTTGTGCCTTTTCCTTATATTCCTCACGCCACCTGCTCAACGGAGGCCGGCCATGGACGATGTCCCCAACGCCCCAAAGCATCCTCTTACGATCCAGGTCTTCCGTCACCTCATTGTCCGGGCAAATAATATAAAATAAGCCCAACTCCATTTTCTGTTCCAAATACTCAGCTACTTGCTCAGGACTCCAGGCGGCGGCTGGCTTTTCTCTGCCGGAGCCAGCACCGGCGAGGCCAGTGAAAGTCCAACCTGGCACGAGGAGGTGCGCTGTCGTAGCGGTGTTTCTAAGATCAAATGACAAATGTTCGGCGACGGACTTGACAGCCGCCTTGCTGGCATTATATGCCGGGTTTCCTGGTGGATTCGTGATGCCTTGCTTTGAGCCTGTAATGACCACGGCCGACTGGGAAGATTGTCCATTGCCCACCAAAGGCAAAAGGGTGTTGATGCCGTTAACAATACCGTACAGGTTTGTGTCGATGATGCGATGGAAGCTGTCTAGATCCTGCCAGCTTGATTTGCCGCCAATGCCAGCGTTGAGAACTAACAAGTCGATTCGGCCTTCAAAGAGGTCAGCTCCAGTGGCATTGTCGCGCAGTGGCGTGTCTCGAAAGGGTGAGCGGTGAGTGAGAAGAAAAGAACTGACCACCAAGGATGCTGTTGACTTCAATCTTCAACCTCTCCCAGTCCTGCAAGATGCTGACGTCCATCTCGAATAGTTTCACTGAGCCCCTCAGTGTGGATTTAGCCTCATCGAGAAGCCTTATATCACGGTCAACTATGATCACTGTCATTTGTCGGTCGAGACATCTTTGGGCAATTGCCAGGCCAATGCCTGAGGCGCCACCCGTAATAACTGCGGTATTCGAGGAGGCAAAGACGGACGCCATCATAAAACAATCTTTCGGTCAGCTTTCTGCTCTGTGTCTTGGGTACGCTCACAAATCAAGACGTCGGCATACACACGGAGTAGGTAGGTTTCTGGAAACGCAGAACAGGTAGATGGAATCGCACGCCCTCACCGCCACCGTCCCCATCCCGTTTGCGGGGAAGGCTACGGAGTTTAGCATCATTATCGCCGCCATCAGCCATCACAGACTGCCGAGGCACATAAACAGAGCCAATCAGCTTTACTTCACGAACAGAAAACCCTGTGTGGGCGTCAGCGTCAATAATCGGCCCCCAACAACGATGTATCGGGATTGAGGAGCTTCAAGATCCAGCTGATAGCACATTAATGAGAGCCTGACCCTTAATACGCGTCTTTCCCCCGATCCATGCCTACTAGAAAAGAAAAAGCAAAACAGAAAACCACTCATCACCTTTAACTGATGGGTACCCACGCGGCGCAATGTTCGGCAGCATCAGCGAGAGGCCTGAGTCGGCTGCTTCGCCAGCATCACACTAACACTCTCTCGCGCGTTCGAGGAGGTCCATACACTTTCCTTTCCGCCCCGCCGCCAGTCGTCGCCGGTTGCATCTTCTCCGCCTCCTCTTGTCGCCTCCCCCATGATTACCTCCAAATCTCGTTTCTGGGAGCTGATCCAGTTTCTCACAAAGTTTGCTGGATCTTGGCTCATGGATGTGAAAAACGAGTGTTTCGCCTTCGAGCTGGCAATCGCCGAGACCAGTGTCGCCAACTGCTCATCCAAAGTAGCCACATTCTTCAGAGCACTGGCATAGGCTGGATTAGCCACAAAAGGCACCAGCTTGGATCGAAGGGGTTCCTCAATAGCGACCCGTACGTCATAAACCGTGGGCTGAGGATCCTGATGGAACGTCTCATCCACTCGAACCGTGTACGGTAGACTAATTGGGGGAAGAGGTCGTAGGTGAGGCTGGATGTAGTCGTTCAGGTTTGGAATCATGCCCACGTCATTGCCATTGATAATCTGGGCGAATAAGTCAGCGGAGAGAGAAGACAATAGAGGAATCAGCTGCGTTACTTTTCTTAGGAGGTCATCGCAGCGAAAGTTACGTTTCTCCTCGTCTTCTTGCAAGCCCATCATCTTGATATACTCCCACACAGCTAGAACAGCCTCTTGTCTGGACGCCTCGGTCATATCCACAACTTCAGCCAGCTCGGGGCTTAGAAAGTATCGTTCTGGGTCCTCCAAGCGATGCAAATTGACAGTGATGTTCATGTTCTCGTCCCCACTCCTTTTGAAGGTAAACTCGTCGAAGTCTGAGACGTTCGTAGCATTCTGTGCAGACTGCCTCTTCCATTCAACAGTCTGATCGGATGCCGCTCGTGAGCGGCTTCGATCAAACTCAACGTTGAGAGCCTTAAAGAAGCGCGAGAATCGACACTTCTGCGGCACCGGGGCTGAGCTTTGACGTCTTGAGCTGGGGGCGTCATCCTCGTCCATTCGATCTTCGTTCTGGGCAACATCCTCAACAGATTCGTCCTGGTCATCGTCAAGCAAACGAGCTTCAATCTTGACGCGATAGGAAGGCTCAGCACTTGGTGTGAAATCGAAGCTGTCGACGCTAAGTCCGCTGCCTTGCCATGCCTGGTCTTCGACGGTGTTGCTAATCCAGACTCGCAGGGTTTTATGCCGCTAGGGATCGTCAAATTTAGCAACGGAAGTGGGCAATAAAATCGCGGGTATAGACATCGAAGAAACCATCATGCTAGACGACTGACCTTTGCATTGCGACCAACAGCCTCGACGATGTCAAGGCGTTTGCGTGTCATAGTCGCATCGAGGCGGCGCTCGAAGTCGCGCAATTCCTTGTATCTCTGGGCGACCTCAGAATCTGTGATGCAGTCCTCGACGCCGTCTGGCAACGTTTTATCGGTAGGCTTTCGACTGCGACGTTTTGCTAGCTCGCTCGTAAGGGCCTGACCCGGGGCATGGTGTTGCGCTATAGTCGCCTGGTTGATGGCTGCTTGTTGGTGATGTCCTGGAGGCATGATCGGCCCTTGAGAATGCGTGTCAGCCAACTGGAGCTTGTTGCAACACGGGGGGGGGGGGAAGGGCACGATTCGGGACGTAAGGCAGGTGGAAGTCCTTCTCGACAGAAGGAACTAAAGGAAGGGACGGGCGTACCGATGCCGCCTCTCCGTTGATTTGGGGCGGTATGTGGAGCCCGCTGGGGAACTTGCGGTGCGCCAGCATGGGCAGCATACTGACGGTATTGAGGCTGCATTTCGACAGTGAAGGTTTTCGACGCGCGCTGGGAGTTCAAAAACACGGTGGGAAACCCCCAACAAGAAACCCGAGTTATTGGATTCAGAAATGATGACCGTGACGATGTACCAAGCTGGGCAAGAGGTCGCGTCGTTTGTTGCTTCAGGGCGCGTGTGCAAAGGCAAATGGCTGAGCGGCACAAGCGCAGGATGAAAGTGCTGCCTATGTTGATTGGTCCATTAAAATGGGCCATGGGGCAGATCCACCTGAAGGGTTCGGCGCATTTGATTCGCAGAAATGGGAGCAGACTACCGATAGCATCACAGGACATGCGAGATGATATCCCACTCTCTTCCACAATGCATGTCAAAGATCCACAGGCGTTTCAGAGACACATTGATCTTCTAGATTCACTATAATGCCATGAAAACATGATCAGGATCGAAAGCATACATCATCTGGACTCGCCGTCCCTTAGGGCTTGATTTGGCCTTGCTCAATGATTCCTATGAAAACCTCCTAAACTCCCTATAAGAAGACAACCTCCCTTGTTCATGAATGCTTCCGCCCGCGAAGGAAATCGCAAAAACCCTTATATAATAGGCCAAGTCGTCCAAGAGTGCATAGCCGACGGGACGCCACGCTACAGAATGCTTACTTCCAATCCCACTCTCATCATTAAGAAGTCTTGGGCCTCCTCTGCATGCACCTCGTTAAGGGCACCACATCTCCCTCCTGTGAAGGCCCTTATCATACCCTCAGGCATCAAAATTGTGCCCCTAGCCCATTTTTAGATTGCCGCTTGCTGAATCGGTTTCGTTTGGTCGAAGAAGAGTCTTCCAAGCTCGCTTGACTTTTGCTCAGATGGTTTCGGCCGGATCGGTCGCTGACGCTGAAGCTATCGGGGTATGCTCCTCGTCCACCCAGCGTACTTGCCGGACTCGATACTGCTGACGACATGTCCGCAAAACCATTGTCACCAGCATAGCTACCAACAAGGTTTTGAGAAGCCGCCAACTCCCTGGCTCTTTCCAATGACTCGATCCAGTCCTCGGCTGTAGAACCATTGTCGGGGGAGCTGGTGCTGCCCTTCGGCTCCTCAAACGTGTAATGGACGCCGCCCTGTCGAAATTTAGATGAGCGGCGATACTTTTTGCCTAGAATACTTACCGCATCGACGCACCAAACTGTTTGCCCTTTGACGTCAAGTTGGGTTCTCCATGAGCTTTCGGGCGACAAGAGCGATATCTCCTGCTTTGCACGCTTCTCGTCCCCGCCAGCCGGAGCCAGCAGTATTCGACCACTTGATGTGACCATGACTAATCTTTGTCTCTTCTTCGTTGTGCTGCCGCCGAAAAACCTCGACAGCTTCTTGTGTCCATCATGCTCACCTCCTTTGCCATGACCCCCATTGGGCAGTGGGCTTGACACGACCATCAAGTCGCCCAACTTGAGAATTCTCTCATTGTTCCGTGTCAAGATAGGGGACCATTCGATATCCAGCTGAGTTGGAGGAGGTAGCTCGGTTATAATCCTGGCTGGACGACAACCACCATTCGCAGTAGAGCTCTGAGCCGGCGGCTGTGATGTTCTAGGAGGGGCAACAGGATTCGGACTGCCGGCCGCACCATTAAGCTGAATCAAATTCGGTTCCTGTGGCGCGGGGTTATAAGGTCGCAGTCGCGGAGCTTTGGTTCTCCACAGTCCCTTGCCGAACTGTTGACCGTCAAAGAATTCGTGGTTCTTGATATGCTCCACTGTAAGACGCCGGGCTGGGTCAAGCACCAAGCACCTTTCCACCAAGTCCCGTGCTGCCGGGGGAAATCCACTGGGGAAATCGTACTCGAGATTAACAATCTTCTGGAATGTGAGGTATTCCGTGCCCGCCTTGAACGGTGGCCTGCCGGCCAGCAGCTGGTATACTATGCATCCGAAAGCCCAGAGATCGCTCGCCTTGCAAGCATTTTTGCTCGTCAAAAGTTCAGGGCTCACATACTCGGCGGTTCCTACGAACGATGCTGCCCGGCCATCATCCTCGATGTCGCCACGGCTGCTTTCAGGAAGACCCCTTGCTCCCTCACCTGCGATCTGTGACTCTCTGGGATCCTTTAGCAGTTTGGCTGTCCCAAAATCGGTGATCTTGACATGCATGTGGTCATCCAAGAGAACGTTTTCGGGCTTCAAGTCTCGGTGAATAACCCCTCTTGAGTGCATGTAGTCAATTGCATCCAATATCTGCGCACCGTAAAAACGTGTGCACTCCACATCGAATGTGCCCGTCTTTTTGAGAACACCGAGGAGCTCGCCACCGTTGCAGAGATCGAGGACATAGTACAGTGATGCTTCGTCTTGAAATGTGTAGTAAAGGCGCACAATGCCTGGGTGTTCCGTGAGGCGGTTCAGGGTGTTCTTCTCGATGTTGACATACTTGATCTTCTTTTCCTTGATGATATGCTTCTTTTCCAGAACTTTGATGGCATACTCTTTGAGCGTCTGTCGATCAGTGGCTAAATAGACCGTACTGTACGAGCCTTCGCCGAGCACTCGACCAAAACTGAAGTCCCTAACTCCTTTTTTGACGTGTCGAATGACTGTCTTCCCATTCGCGTCCGTCTCTCTCCTGACGCCAATGGCAGCACCGCGGTCTTTCCATTCCTCGCTGCTGGTAGGGAGTGGCATGTCGGGGCCGTACGGATCTCGTGAAGGCTGAGAAGCTGTAGTCGCTGAGACGTATCCACCCCCCATGCCTTTGGAGCTCCTCCTCGGCGGCAGTGGTCCAGAACCAGGAGGCAGTTGAGATTGGCGAGGGTTTGTAGACCTGTGGCTTGGCTCTCTTGTAGGTATTGATGATGGGTAGCCAGGGCCGTTACCAGAATCCTGTCTTGCTAGAAGGCCATACACGGAAGATCGTGATCGTTCGTTCTGTGACGCAGTTTGGTGCTGCAACAAGCGTCCATCCTCAGACGCGGTGGGAGGATGCGCGTACACGCCGGACATTGGGCGGCCAGTTGGGGATGCCGAGCTGCCTGGGGCTCTCTCGGGGTCTGGGTATGACGATACAGGTTGACGGTAGACTTCAGCTCGCATGGCAGCGCTAGGGCTCGTTCGGTGCGATTCGGCGTGTGCGGGCATAGCATCCGGGGCAGCGCCGAGTTGTTCGGGAGACTGAATGTGGGATACGGGGGACAGAAGGCTATCTGAGATCGGGATCGAAGCATGCGAGGCGATGGGTTGTTGTTTCGTGCCATGCCGGGCAGTGGAGGGTGCTGAATGAGCATCGGGTTGGTCAACGGTTGGAGACAGGGCGCCTCCATCTGACAGGTTGTTCGGAGACGAATCGTCTGGATTGGCTATTCGTAATCCTCCGAGGGCCCTCGACAGACTGAGGTCCCCATTCATGGTTCGTGTGTGTGTGTGTGTGGGCAGACGGCGGGAAGGGAGGGTGTCAGGAATGGGAAAGGAGAGGATGGGCGGAGGCAGTACAGGTAGAGAAAGGATGAAGGAGAAAGCAGGAGTAACGAATGGCTCCGCCGATTGCCTCGTGCAATGGCCGAGATGAAGTCAGGTTTGGAAGGTACGCGGCGCGGCACGATTAAACGGGATAGGAGAGAAGTGGTCGTTGGTCGTTGGTCGGGAGGGCAATCGACCACATCTGATTCGGGTCTGTTCTGCGGTCGGTCGGTCGGTCGTGTCAGACAATTAGAACGCCGCCAGGAAGGTAGGTAGGTAGGTACTATGCCTGAGGTATGTTTAAGTGGTTCGCAAGGCAAGGTAAGGTAGGCACCTCCCAAGAGCACCTGACCTTCCATTGCCTTACTACCTAGGTAGGTTGGGTAAGGAAGGTAAGGTACCTACAGGCACCTCACCTTAGACGACTCGCGCGTGGTGCCTGTCGGAAAACAGGCACCTAACCTGTCCCGTCGGAAGTGACCTGGGTTGCTGGGAGAAGAAGCCCCCCAAATGTGTGCACTGGCGCAAGCCCAGGACAAGCAAGGCAAAGCAGGCAGGGCAATGTGGAAGAACCTATGAGCACTTCACCCAGCATACGGATACAGTACTTCGTTTCAATCCCAACCATTGAGGGCCAGGTCAAGATGCCACCAACATGACAAATTTCTAGTTTGTAAGATGACAACCAGCAACGAATAAGAGAAGGGGATTTGGTTCCTTGCGTCATCCAACGTGGGCGAAGCTAACCTGGAAGAAATCGAACAGCAGTGCGTAAGGGAAGGCGCAGTGAATACGTGCGATCTCCCCGCAATAGAGAGCCTCGTGCTTTCTTCACGAGCAGCATGAGCCTTCTCGCCCAGGACACCGCACTCATGTGCAACACTTGCTTTCCAAGGTTGACCGCTCAAATGTGTACCAAACAAGCACACCATTTCGTCATCACCTACGCCGAAATGTTGCGCCTCGAACCAACTGTCATCCGCCTGACGCTATGCGAGGTGAACGATCTGCACCGGCGATCGAAAGCCCAGCAGCAGCTTCATCCTCTAGCTAGACATGATCTAGGAGCCCTTTCTGTGCCACTACGGCAACCTCAATATTCAACCCCGTACTCTAACTGCATGGACTTGCCTAGATTGTTATATTCATCGATTCCGACTGGAACAGCTTCGCCAGAAGTTCTAGTAGAAGACACTAGCGACGACATAGACGGCGCAAACGGCCAAGGCTTTGATCCTCTGTCAAGGACTGAGGGCGTCGAGAGCAGCCCTCGCAGTGGTTGGCATTCCAACATGGCAAGCGCTTGCGACGGGCCATCGAACTCGTTGAACACGATGCCTCGACCGTCTGTGCCATTTCCTTCAATTGGTCAAGCTTCGTCATCTCTTGTACAATCCATGAGTGTCTGATCACCATTGTAATGCTCGACTTCTAAGTGAGGCTGACACTATCAGCAGCAACCGCAACCTGCGGCCTTACGCGGGGTCGGCCCTAGGGAGCCAAGTCGTGTCTACGCTTCACATTCATCTCCAGTCACAATGCGCATGGGCTTTGGGGGGCATAGAGACGTTCATGGAAGCCCTAGGCTCATTGTATATAACGATTCGGTCACTGCGATGATCCAGTCCCAGGCTCGTCACCTTCCGGAAGCTCGGCACCAGAGTCGGCTGCATGAATCATGTACGGCACCAAGCGGAAGATATTTGTTCCAGGGGCCAGCTACTACCGCGCTGGGTCGCCATCGACGTCGTGCGAGGGCGGCCAGTCCATCCGACACGGGCATTCCAGGACTTGTTAGGCTTTACGGCGGTATGGAGAACCCTGGGGAACTGGCACCGTATGATGCCGCAACGCGCTGGCACTGGGCAGGACAACGCAGAGGGTGAATCAACAGACGTACTGACCTGTCTCTGGCTTGGCGGGTGATTACACATGCCCATATCGTGCTCGACTACGGTTTGGAAGCATTATATTGTCGGTGGCGGGAAGGTGACGAATGGGGAGTCCCACGCGGTGACCCTGATAGAAGAAGACTGCCGACTCAGTCTATCAGGCTCATTAATACAAGAGTAGTTGACAAGAGTGAATACGTCGATTTGCTAGAAGAGAGTGTACATTTCTGGAAGGGTGATTCCGATACTTTGATTTTCCAACAGGTGTGGCTCAAGAGCCGGTAGTAGAGTGGGTGTGCGGCAACGGAATCGGATTGTTGGTAGCCTGAGCGACAACCAGGTGACTCTGACGGCACGGGGGAGTCTCCCGCTTTCCGGACGCCCGTCCAGTGATCAGGATCACGTGACGGCTGTAAGCATTGTGAGAGTGCTTCTGGCAACTGGTGCCTGAGGCAACAAGGTGCGAGGAGAAGAGTCAGTACACTGCGTAGGCTTTGGGAGGTGATCGCGTGCAGGTTAGACAGTACCCAGTACCGAGGACCTATGTATGCATAAGATGTGCATTCATGTACGGATAACGCGGTAGGGGGTTGCATAACTGTTATCCAGACGTCATCCGCCCTAAAGTCAGCAAGCCCGCTTCTTCATCGTCCGTACCGCAACAGATACCAGTATGCCGATTTGCTCGTATGATCTGACTAGCTATTCGCGACCGGGTTGTTTGCTCTGCGGGTGTGGGTTTTGCATGCAAGTGTTTGGGCGTAATGCAGTTAATTCCCCAGTTATCCAGGTCGCCGGCCAGCAAATGGCCGGCCAGTATCCGTACTGGACAAGGCACGACACGACGGCTGCAGCTGTAGCAACTGCGGTCACCAGCCTGCCCGATTTGGCAAAGGCCCAAAGGTAGAAATCAACATGGACCCGAGCTCAAGGAGCCACAGCAAGAGGCCGTACTGTGGTACATATGCGGTACGTACACGTCAAGTGGACTGCAAGGTGGAAGCTCATTCGCGGCGGATATATACCTACATTCGGGACAGCTCAGATATCGCACGTTACAACGCTGACAGGCGCTAGCATATAGAAAGAGAGAGAACATCGGATGATGGTCTCGCTACCGCAGTATGCCAGTAGTCCTGGTGACACACAAGGTAGTCATTCAGCAGGGACAAGTTCACACGGGGTCCCGGAGATGGTTTCTGCTGCGAGTGGCAGCGATCCGCAACCAAGATCCTTGCGTCTCAAGTCGTGGCAAACGATACGTACCTACCCTACTCCGCTGTGGCTCGCCTTCTCACAAGAGCGAGGACTCTCTCCTCCATGTCTCTCCGCAGCGGCTGCGCCAGCGCCAGCACGAGAGCTGCGACAATGCGACTCGCGACGGGGAGCTGGGGTGTAAAGACTGTCAAGGCGACGTTCCCTTGTCTACCGCACTCCAACCTTTTTTTTTGCCGGCCCTGTTCAGTCTCTGTTCGTCTTGTCCTGTCCTCTCGTTTTCTTTCCGTCTGTCAATTGGCCTGGCCATACTGCAAAATACAAAAGGATAGCTCTGTCTACACCTACCTACCTACACCCTCGGCTTTACCTCAACCTCTACCTCAACCTCTACCTTTCACCCCTTTCCCAGCCACTACAAATTCATCCACCCATCTGGTGTTGAGTCTCGTCTCGTCTCCCATCGTCTCTTTCTGACAGCGTCGCTCTTGCAACCTAAGTTCTTCCCTCTCTATTCACTGATGTACCCCATACGCTAGCTTGGTCAACCCTGCTTTATCTGCTACCGTCATTGAGCCCATCACCAAACGGCCATTCTATTCTGCCTTACACTATCACCGTCAGGTTGCTGCCGTCTTTTCAAACCACCTCTTACCACCAACCTACCATTGCGAGCTGCTACTCATCGCTCCGATCTCGAATGGTCCTGTCTCATCTCGGCCTTCTCTCGCCTCGGACTCCTTCGACCATCCGCCAAGTACCTTGTGGCCCTGCACCACAGCACCATATCATTCACGCCCATCCGCTATCGCCGCCAGCTGCAACCCATTTCTGGGGTGTCATCTTGCAACTACTAACCTGTCTTGATGCGTAGAAGAGATATCTAAAACAGACAATTGAACTTACCTTCCACAGGTCTAACAACGTAGCAATGTCATCTTTCGGCCGATCCTTCTCAACTGCCTCGCCAGTCATGGCCCTACCACCGCAGCCCGCCCATCGAGCCAGCTTCAGCATGGAGTCTTACGCTTCCCCGGCAGCCTCTTTCGATCAATCTGTCGCCTTACAACGCTGCGCTCACCCGGCGGCGGTACCCTCCGGAAACCTCAAGGTCGCAGGTCG